CTCACGGGGTCGAAACAGCCAGCTGACCGGAGATGGAGCAAGCACTACTATACACATCCAGCTCTGGATTTGTCTCACAGCTAAGGATACATCCCTGATAAGCCAAAGGCACGACTGACTCACAGCAATTGCACAACGTGCAGCACACAGTGGCAATCTTGTGATGTAAATCTCATTCTATTATCTCTTATTAGCCACAGTACAGGCCATCGTGAGGATAAAGATTTGAATTTTGACAGCCTTATCGGCAAATTTGCAGTTGCATTAGTACTCACCACGCTCGGTGGAGGAGTATCATCGCTGCTCTCCACAGGGATCTCCACAATATTGTCAGCAATCTACCAAACAACAACAGTACACACAGGCCATCGTGAGAATAAAGATTTGAAACAACAACCTCCTCAATCACTCTACTCTCTTATTGGCCACAGTACAGGCCATCGTGATGATACAGATTTGAATGTCGACAGTCTTGTCGGCAAACAAACTAATTACTTGCAGTTGCATTAGTATACAGTGTAGTACGAACTCACCACGCTCGGTGGAGGCGTATCTGCACCGGTATCGAACACCGGGCCTGACCCGCGTACACGCTTCGATCTCCGCTCGTACGCTTCTAGTTGCTCCTTCTGTTTCCGTTTCACAGGACTCCGCTGCTGTACAAATGAAAAAACTGACGGCAAAAAATCTGGAGAGAGAGGGTCATCACTCTTCTTTCCACCTACAAAATGTGCAGAGCACAGCCAAGTGTTTTGATTTGGTGACCACTTGTCACGACGAACAGCTACAGTCCACTTCTTCCGTTTCACAGGGTCTGCCGGAAAGCGGTAGAAACTGACAACCGAACCAACCTTAGACCGGTTACTGCAGCCAACAGCGCAACAACTTTTGACCATCGTGCTAGCAAAACTGCAGAAGGAATGACTCTTCCACAGCGAAACAAAAATGCCTCCTCCCTCATATTGATAATCAGATCAGCTGCAGCAGCAGCTGATTCTTCAAGTTCAAAAATTAGTTTTTGCCACTCAGTCCCTCATGATGAGCTCAGTGGGGCACCGTTACTATGGAGATTGCAGCCTGTGACGTGTATTGCATAAGGTCTATAGCTTTCGCACAACGCTCATCAGGAAGCATCATTGCACTAATAATAATACTAGTGACAAAATTCTGGCCCGACAAGGCCAGACCAACACAACATTCTACTGGTCGAACAATTTCAAAAAGATAATACTGTCCTTTTGAACACAAAGGTCAGGCTTATGAATGTGTTGGAAAACAGCCTCCAGCACTTTAACCTGTAACTGATTATCATGACGTCCACGACACAAAAAGGAGAAACATGATTCAGAATACACTTGGCAAAATTCAGGACGATATACCAAATGATTATACACAGAAGACTTACGAGGTCAAAACACACGCCCACACTCACTCCCACACTCACCCATACCCACGCTCTCTCTCTCACTTAACTCACAACTAGAATCTCCTCCGTCGTAAAAATTGGTTGACATTTGAAGTCGTTATGTGCAGAACGATATGAATATGTACAGTCATTTGACGGTTTTGAGACAGAATTCGTCAGAATTTCACCTCATTAACCACAAAAATCCGAAGATCACTAACTTAAATTGACGTTAGAATATCTGGTCTTACAGTATGTTGAACAATTGCAGTTTTGCCTTGTTGAATGCTTTTAAGTCAATGGGCGCTGTCGATTACACGCATTTCAGTCAATTCTAGAATTAGGTATTGTTGATGCACAGTTCGATTACACAAAAATGACAAATTCCGTCGTTCGAATTGATTTTATCCAATTCCGTCAAATCCGTCAATTCTGAAGAGAGGGCGGAATTTCTCTAATTCTGGCGCCAGAATTGCACACTCGGTGTGTTACCGGTCTGGTCATGCATGACTCAAGTCAAGAAAAAGCCTCCCTGGCCGATGTGGCGTGAAAGCAGGGCTACAACTGCATGTAGACTACTTAGTTGCTACTTTTGTCTTCCCGAAAAGCTAATTGCCGCTGTTGAGTTTCCGCTGGGAGCTGATTATTAGACCAGATCATTTTGGGTGGTCCTTTTGCACACACGTTCAGCTTTATCGAAGCCCAGTATTGTTGCCGACATGGAGCCTTTGCCGGGATGGACCGGTACGCGAAGCTGGGTCAACGCGCGCGTGCGCGAGCGAGGGTGTACGTGATATCTTTTTACGACCAATTTTGTTTGTGATATGCCTATGTTTGTGATATGCCATGAATAAAAGCTAGTCAGCCTAACAAGCTAGTCAGCCTAACAGCGGACGTGGTATGGACCCAGCGGTGGATCGCTGCAAGAGCCATTCGTTACCGACAGCAATTTCACATTCTAGGCCTGGACATGTCCAAGGCCTTCGATACGATTAACCGCCTGAAGCTGCTGGAGGTGATGTCTGCAATTACCAATCCAGATTGCACATGTCTCATCCACCACCTACTCCACAACACAACTATCACTGTTAAGGTTGCAAGTGCCACAGCTGAACCGTTTGAGAGCACTATTGGAACACCACAAGGCGACAGTCTCAGCCCAGTTCTCTTCATCTGCTATCTGGAGGCTGCACTACAGGAATGCAGAACTCGTCTCGCGCCCCGCCCTGCTGCCGACGCAAGTCTACCACCAGAGACGGGTTATGCAGATGACATCTCCTATTATTCAACCTGCAGGCTGTGGCTTGAGAATGCTCTGCCTGTAATAGCAGACACACTGCACGATTGGTCATTAAAAGTAAATCCAGATAAAACAGAGTGGATCCATGTGTCACCTGAATCCGAGAGCTGGCGGACATCTAGGCAGCTTGGCTCCTTGATGGGGGAGGAAGAGGATGTTCGGCGCAGGATGGAACTTGCCTCTCGCGTGTTTGGCCAGCTGTACGCCCTATGGCTGCGTAGAGATAAAGTAGCGGAGAAGACACGCTTACGCCTGTACAACGCTATCGTACTGCCGACATTCCTGTACAATTGCGAGACCTGGGGATTATCGTCAACAGCAATGGCCAAGGCAGACGCATTCCACCGGCGTCAAATGCGATCACTCCTTGGAATACGATACCCAGACACAATTTCAAACGACGACCTATACCGCAGAACCAAGAGCAACCCTATATCAGACACAGTTGCATGTAGGCGACTACGAATGACCGGTCATGTGCTACGGATGGACACGGACACGCCACCGCAAGTAGCCATGAGCGGCTATTTTGACAAGGGCAACAAAGCACCTCGTGGACGGCCAAGGTTGACACTGGCCACAAGTCTGGTTGCTCAGCTGAATGAGCTGGGTGTGCCAATGAAGACCATGGAAGACCTTTCCAGGTGCCGACAACAAGCAGCAGACAAGACAGACTGGAGGAAACTGTGCAGCTCGACACCCGGCGAGAAATCGGTATCAGCAGCTACTACACCTAGCTGATGATGCTCACAAGACAGAAGCGGAAAAAACACTGAATTTCTTTATTTAGTGCTCTACTACGCGAAATGTGCTATTATTATTATTATTATTATGAATAAAATGCGTTGTGAATTCCAGTCGTTCGTTTTACATGGCCGGAATTCGTACATTTTGGTCATTCGAGAATTACAAAACCCAGTTCCAGATTTGTGTAAACGTGTAATCGAAAGCGCCCAATGTAATCCTGTGATAAAGAGAAGAATGAGTTATGCAACAACTATCCACGACTGTAGCAAGATGATAAACAGTCAGAAAGTGCGATAATAGGGCGCAAAACTGACAGCGGCTACTGAGACATTCAGCGACCCGATACCTACAGTGAAACCTGGTTTAAGCGACCACCCCGCGGGGCAAGCAAAAGCGGTCTTTGGAACCAGGTCCCATATATTGGTGACATATCGGATTGTGGAGAAACATGTACATGTGTGTAATGTTCATGATCGTACTTCCATGTACTCATATTATTGGCAGGTATGGAGAATATGAGTACTTTCTGCAGCAAAGCACGCCTCACTCAAGTGCATGCAGCGCATTCTGCACTGTCCGTTGTCACTTCTGTTGAGTGCATGCACATGAATCAGAGTGCACGTCAGCCCTGTTGCTGTCAAACCTTGGCACTTTTGGTTAGTTTTGGTCGCTGTGTGCAGGTCCATAATGGCACTTGCTGCACTAAAAGTCGGTCGCTGGTCGCGCAAGGCAGGTGGTCGCAGTATGCAGTGCAGTTTCTGTATCGAACTGTCCATGCATGGAAGAACGGTCGCTAAAAGCAGGTGGTCGCTAAGCACCGAGGTCGCTTACACCATGTTTTACTGTAGCTCGAACACATCTCCAGTGAGCAAACCAACAACCTTCCAACTTGGAAGGTTCATGGTTACATAGGACCGAAGAGGGCCGAAGAGGGGAAGGTGCGTCGTGTGTCACTACTTGTTAGTGTTGTCAACTCGTCCACAATAGTGTCATGCATGAGGAGTACCGTTAGATATTGGCGTCCGGTTTTGTAAAATTCGTTTTTGTAAAGCTCCCCCCCCCCTTCCTTTATCTCTGATATTGGTGACCCACCCAAGTTGGATGGTGTGTTGCTTTGCTGCTTCAAATTGTAGTTAGACGGCATTGTCATGTTATTAACAGGTCCCGTCATGGTCCTGTAAAAGTCGGCATTCTTTGCTGCCGTGGGAATTAGCTTGTGCACATTTTCACTGCACGCACCTTCCCCTCTTCGGTCCTACGTAACCATGAACCTTCCAAGTTGGAAGGTTGTTTGTTTGCGCACTGGAGATATGTTAGAGCTAGGTCTTGGGTCGCTGAATGTCTCAGTAGCCGCTGTCAGTTTTGTGCCCTATTATTGCACTTTCTGACTGTTTATCATCTTGTTACTGTCGTGGATAGTTGCTGCATAACTCATTCTCATGTGTTTCTTCTCTTTTTTTACATTAATTACTGGCTCAGTATCCGAGTTTAATCCTGCGATGCATGTTTCATACAATCTTTGCTGTGTTCATGTTGGTACATTTTTAGAGGAGCGAAAGCTTTTCATCGGCATGCTCTCTAAGAACAGCGACGAGGAATTCGTTAAGAAGATGCTTAGCGACTATGGCACTGTCGAAGAGTGTGATTTGATGCGTCACAGAAGCGGCAGGACCAAGTGCTGTGCATTTGCCACGATGGGGTCCAGGGACGAGTGCCTGTCTGCCATGAAGGGACTGCACCGTTCCAGGACCATGGAGGTAAGGAATGATACCATACTGTGTGTTATCACACAGCTTTGCCAGACTAGAATAGGCCCACTGCATACTGCACAATATGGGCATGAATTAATGGTATTAGTGTTTGATACTTTCTACAGGTGCAGTCCTGGTATAGCGAGCGCCAGGTTGCAGAGGAAAAACTTCTAATTTATCCGGACAATCTAATTATTTAAACATAAACCCGCAACATAATACAGCTGACCGTCACTAATCCAGCATTTATTTATCCGGGACCCTTGCAAGCAAGCGCGCTTTCTGGCAAAACGGATTTTTCAGTTCATTTTCTACGCTTTAACCCGGCACTTCCGGCTCGAGCAGTGATTTTCTGTAACAAATCGCTCAAATAGTACACAATCCGATTTTACAATGCTGCAGTTGTACATCGCGTACCTTACCGGTGTACAGGTACATGTATGTGAGTTTGGTCAGTGAACTCACTTATCAGCAGGGAATATTCTACACACGTACCATACAATTTATAAAATAATCACAGTACATATGCAATGATGATTGCGAAAGCATCACACCTTTATAGTGTCAAAACCACCTCAGCAGGTATTCATTAGATGATTTTTTCTTTCTTTCTTATCTGGCTTGCAAGTGTTGAGTTTCGGAGGGAAAAGAGCAGTACGAGGCATGTGGCCTCTAATTTCCTAATAATTATTATCAATGAAACTCGTCGACTAAAAAGCCTTGATTGCCCTTGTTCTAGTGTGTATGCACTGAATAGACATGCATTCCACAAAGAACTTGGATCCATACAGAAAATCCCTGCGTTTTGGCGTACGACACAAACTTGCATGTTTTCAGGTGGAGGACAGGATTTGATAATCCAACACCCTTGTTTATCCAGCAGAAAATGCTGTTGCAAAAGGTGCACATTGAAAGAACCAGATATAGTAGACGTGCAGTGCTTTTCCACACACGAAACATAGATGCAGGGAGGGAGGGAGAGAGAGAGAGCGAGAAAGAGAGAGAGAGAGAGAGAGAGAGAGAGAGAGAGAGAGAGAGAGAGAGAGAGAGAGAAAGTTACATTTATAAAGACAGGTAAGTCTAACAAATGAGGACTGAGGCCTCTACAACAGGGTTTTTACGCCCGAAAGCAGGTGCATGATTTAACAAGCAGGTTGTCAGTCTAGATTTTATGTACAGATGGAGAAACAATGCGCAGAATTTTGTAATGAGATGAAAAAATAATAAGAAATAATAAGAAAAGATGAAATGAAAGCCTGCTCACAACCCCGCCCAGCCTTGCGAACTGGGAATGGTGGATTAAGAACTCGAGTTCAACGCTCGAGCAAGCGCTCTATAAGGTGTTCACAGCAACTGATAGGAACTCATAAGGGAAAGGATAGAAAAGAATACTAAATATGAAGAGAATAAAATTCAAAGCACCTCAATAAACGCAGTCCCACTTACAGCACATCAGAAAAGTGGAGTGTTTTTTGTTGACGTCGTAGCCAGATGATGTAGCTGCTTCGCGGAGACGTCTTACTGCACTAATTACAAATAAATTTTATTCTTCGATTAGAAAACCCAAGCGTTTTCAAAGCCCTTCGAAGAGAGTCCAGGATGAAACCACGCACACCTACCTCAACCGATAAAGAAACCAGAGAGAGAGAGAGAGAGAGAGAGAGAGAGAGAGAGAGAGAGAGAGAGAGAGAGAGAGAGAGAGAGAGAGAGAGAGAGAGAGAGAGGAGAGAGAGAGAGAGAGAATGTGGTGAAAAGGACACTATGAGCATTACCAAAAGCACGTATCAAAGTAAGTTGCTGAGAGTATGTACGTAAGTCACCACTTTACAGCCGCATTGATTGGGATTCCAGTGTCTTATTCTCGCAGAATGTTTGAAACACACCAACCACTAACTCTTGGACATGGAATGCTGATTGCTTTGCAGAAACCAAACAAAAAGAAAGGCCCTCCGTCGAACCTGCGACCTGTCATTCTCTTATCATCTCTCAGGAAAGCCGATTGTCCTTGCTAACCCTTCAGCGAGCGAACCAACTTGTTGAGTCATTCCTGAGTAAACTCCACAGTGGTTTCATCCAAAGAGGTCAACGGCTGATGCGGTCTGGCCACATAGGTGGTTAGCGGCGACAGTGAAAAAGTACCAGTGCTCGATTGATATCCTGGACATTGACATGTCTTGTGCGCTTGACACCATCGATCGGCGCGGGCTCATGGATGTACTCGGTTCCGTTCTGCCCGGCGATGACCAGCGCTTGGTGCGGGTTCTGCTGTCGGACATAGTACTCACAGCTCGCCCTTGCTCAGAGCCATTGCCAACCACGGTTGGTACTCCACAGGGAGATGCACTCTCACCGCTGCTATTTGTGATCTACCTCCAGGCGGCACTGGGAGAGGTCCGGCAGTCATCCCTGCCGCGTTGCATTGCCGAAAACGCACTCCCACAGGAAATCATATACGCAGATGACACCGACTTCTTGAGTGTATCTCAAGCCTGCAAGCCTCCATGGCTAAGGGACCTGGAGCCAGTTGCCTGACACGTACTGCAACAGTGGAGGCATGAGTCCGGACAAAACAGAACGCACGACTCTCATCAGAAGAGCAGATCGCATTGAGGAGGAATGGCGTATGACAAGGAAACTTGGTTCGCTACTGGGGGACTGTGAGGACGTCGCCCGCAGGAAGAACCTGGAAGGCGCACCATTTGCATCTTTGTGGTCACTTTGGAAGAGAGGATCCATCATCAGCGAGAAGCGGAGAGTCAGATTGTACAAGGCACTACTTGTACTTCCTATTCTCCTATATAACTCAAGCACTTGGGCTCTGACCAAGTCCAAGGGGCAGCTTGACGCGTTTCACCGGCGGCAGCTCAGATTACAAACCCAAGTAAAATGGCCGCAGAAAATCTCCAATGTGGCCCTTTACCAGTGATGCAGCACAGAGCTTCTGAGCCATGGCGTGAAGAGGACGCGGTGACGTTTGCTGGGCCACATTCTTCGTTTCCCCCGATGAGTGTCCGGCAAGAAGGGCAATAAGCACTCCTTTAAAACAAGGATGGCAAGAAATGGAGGGGCTGACCCCACACCAAGAAATGGAGGGGCTGACCCCACACCAAGAAATGGAGGGGCTGTCGCCACACCAAGAAATGGAGGGGCTGTCCCCACACCAAGAAAAGGAGGGGCTGTCCCCACACCAAGAAATGGAGGGGCTGTCCCCACACCAAGAAATGGAGGGGCTGTCCCCACACCAAGAAATGGAGGGGCTGACCACACCACTGTCCAGTCGGTTCTCTCAGCCGATCTGAAGATGTCTGGCAATGGTCAACTTGATAATCTGCACGACCTATAGCGCCTACACCAGATTGCGCAGGACCGCGGAAGCTGGAAGGATTTGTGCAGTGCCCTGCAGTGCAAGGACTGTACATGCTTCAAGGTGGCTGTGCCTGTAATTACATTATGACACCATCGACAGTCAGAAGATTAACTACTAGTAGAGTTTCCTCTGAGACCAAAATGTGATAATACTCATAAAAAGGACGCACTTCAGGCTCTTTACGAACATCTTGAAAGTTTTTGGTTTCACAAATATACTTTCAAGCCTTCTCATCAGGTGAAATACAGGTCAAAGGCAAAGGAACAGGAACAGTGGATTGAGTACAGTAAGGAGGTGGTAAAACAGCGCAAAGAAGAAGATAGCTAAAGTAAACAGAGAAAATGCGTGACCTATACACATAGCAATAATGACACAAAGGTGCAAGTGCGAGAAAACTCAATAAGCGTGACATGTTGTGCGACAACAAGAGACAACCACTGGACATAACTAACGAGGTTTTGGTGACCTACCTAACAGGCTAAGTGTTAGTTTAATTTGCTTCTGCTTGCAAAGGTTGGGTTTCTTTGTGTGGATGTATACGGCTTCCAAAACATTCAGCAATCTAGCACTGCGTACACGTGACACAATCAAAAAAGAATCATCTGAATACACAGCACGACAATCAGGATGCTCAAATAAATGACTAGCAATGGACGACTCATGCTTATCAGAACTAACATCAGAACAATCAGCATGTGCGGTGGACACATCCGATATCAAATGGCTAGTCAAGTGGACCCTAGCCGTTGCCTCTGCCAGTGCTTTAGACGCCGCCATCGCCGTTGTTGCCGATCTTGTTATTCTTCTAGTTGATGAGGTTCCTGTCACTGCCACGCCAGTAGGTGTCTTGTCTGGTTGTTTATCCGGTGGTCTAGTTAATTGTGAGGTGACGTTGCTTGGTGTTGATGCCGCTGCGTTAGACCATCTTGTACCAGGATGATTCTTTGCTGGACGTCCCCTCCGTGGTCGTTTGGATCGTGCGTGTTGTAGAATAAGGTGTAGCGGTGAAAGAAACCCAACCTTTGCAAGCAGAAGC